ATGTGATAAACTTCATGTAAATCCATGGTTCTATGTGCCCATTTGTTATAAATCTCTACTATTTGCTCTCTGGTGAGATGCAGCTAGAGTAGAGATAAAAGATGAATTATATAATGTACACTTGGTGTTCAGAAAGCATTGCCACTAAGGTGTTTGCCTTGGGGTGTCTGATGGGAGCAGGGAGTGTGAAGTAGGCACTGGGGAAAACTGGCCACAGACCCCAAGGAGAAGAAGGCAGTTAACCCCAAGTGGAAAAATACTTTGATTTGCTTCTGCGAGATTTTTTGAAGGTATTAATTTGTGTTCAATTTTTGTTTTGGTGGATTTTTTTCTGGTTTGTTGCTTCGGGTCGCGGTGGTTATAGCAGCCACTGATGCTTCGGGTTGTGGTTGCAGCAGCCACTGATACTTAATGGGTTTAGAAAGACTAGAATACAAACAATGTCATTATCCCACAACCCTTTTTTTTTTTTTTAAGTTTATTGTGGAAATTTTCAAATATTCCAAAGATAATAGTATAAGAATTTTCCCCTCATATCCATAATAACTCATGACAAATCTTGATTTACCTATACCTTCACCATTCATTCTGAATTATTTTGAAGCAAATCCCAGATACCAAATTACTTCATATTTAGTATATAAACAACAATTTTAAAAATTTAACCATCATGCTTAAAGAAATTAACAACTCCTTAATATCAAATATCCGGTGTCCAGATTTCTTTATCTCAAAAAATGTGTTTTATACTTAGTTCAAAGCAAGATATAAATACACATGTCGCTACTGGTTAGTATGTCTCAAATTTCTGATAATCTGCAGGTGTCTCTCCTGTACTCTCTCTCTCCCTTGCATTTTATTACTTGGGGAAATGTAAACATTTTTCCTGAAGAGTTCCCAGTCTGGATTTGGTAATTGCATCCTTGTGACAGCATATTTCTCTCTTCCTCTAGTTCCTGTAGTGATTAGAAGCTGTGCTGTCCAATACGGTAGCCATATTTAGCTATTGGGCAGTTGAAATTCAGAGTTTGAATTGAAACTGAGTTTGAATTGAGATGAGCAGTTACGCATGTGGCTCATATTTATTGGACAATGCTGATCTAAAGACTTGATCACATTTAGATGAGAATTCTCTGGTAAGAATATTTCATAGGTGCCCTCCCTGGTGGCGCAAGGGGTTAAGCACAGCGCTGTGAAGCTAGCCGCAGCCTCAGTAGTACAAGTTCGATCCGTGGCCAGGGAGCTACCCACATGGCGCAGCAGACTTCTCCTGTCTCGCCTGCTCGTCTTCTCCTTTCTTGCCTCCCCTTAGCAGTGTATTTCAGTGGATTCACCTGTTCTGCTCCCCACTTTGCCTCTGGTGAATCCTCTCACCCCCTGCAACTCTGGCCTGCACCTCAGTTCTTGTGTGCATAAATAAATAAATCTTAAAAAAAAAATATTTCATAGGTGTACTCCAATTCAGGAGGACTAAGGTCTAGTTGTCTCTTAGGATTTGAGCAGTCAGTAATAATCAATACTTAAATTTATTCATATGCAATTGCAAACAGTGGGGGTTTAATTTTGCCATTCTTTATTAGCTGGAATACTTATAAAAATTAAACCTATCCCTTTAACTATATGGTTACCCTGAAGTACAGTGTGTATAGGAACAAGAGATAAAAAAATGTAATCTCCTTTATTTTCAAAATAATGAGCTGATTCCTAGCATCCTCCAAAGTAAATTTGTTTTTTAAGTATCATGAACTTCAACCTAGACATGGTTGGTCTTGACTCACCTTTGGCCTATGACTCCTGCTTCTCAGTTCCTGAGTTCCCACTCAGTCCCAGTATCCTATCCAACTTTATCTTGTACATTTCCTGCTCCAGGCCTGGAATCAGTTATTTCTACAGCAAGCCTTGATTCTTCTTCATTGGAAAAGGTACTTCTAGGTCACAGTCTGTATGATAGGGGTACTCATTGTTGCTCCTTATTATTAGTTCTTATTTTCAGTCAGAGCTTGGATAGCTGTAGCTCTATAGCTGTAGTTATATTAAGCCTTTAGCCCTTTTCTAAAATTTCTTTTTTACACCTATACCTTAATTTCTATATAGTGAAGATTAAGTAATGAAAATAGAAAAATAAACTCATTCAAAGATTAACCAGAATATTAACCTATTATGTGCAAGGATATTGTTTACCTCATATTTCCCAGTAGAAGAAACCCTGGACTTTCAAAAAACTAATAAAAGCATTTATTTCTAAGAAATCAGCCAAGTGAAATTTATGAAATAGATAATTTACATTAGTTCCATCTAAGTATTTAGCTCAAGTGGCTGAATTTATGATGTCAGAGGGTTTGCTGCTACAAGCCAACCAAGGTAATCACTATAATCTAAAACCATTCATGTTCCTAAATCCATGTGACTCTAGTATAAAGATGTATTGAGAAGCTTAGCTGGGATATACCATCTGTTGTAGCAATTCATTTCTACGCCTTTCATCCATAGAGAAGCCATCCTGGGAATTACAAGGTAAGTACAAAGTATATCTTGTTCTATTCAAAGTATAATATGTAATTAACATAAAAGGAATGCATATGCTAGGAAGAATTAGCAGTGATGAGTCAGTTGTAATTGTGATAAGTGTTAAGTGTTAGAAAAAATGCTTAGTAATGGATTTATAATTTTCATTGTTCATAAATAAAGTTCCTGCTGAGGCTCAGATAATTGCTAAGTGTAGGGGCTAACGTGGTAAGCAAAACACCAGAGTCCCTAATTCAACAATCAAAAATGTGCTGGGTGGTTTAAAGGAAAGGTATAGTTCTATGAAATTGATTAGACTTTTTTCTTCCCCTCAAACTGAGGGTTCTGTAATACATTTAGGTGAGGTAATTGGAAATTTACATGTATATAGTAAAGCTGAGAATTATTCATTTTACATATATGTATATATGTGTATATATATATATATATACGTGTATGTGTGCTAGAAATATATTTCATACTAATGATCAAAAAAAAAAAATCTTGAAAGCTGCTGGACGAAGTGGACATATCCAAATTTGACGTTCAGGAAAAGCATTTTTTAAGGAAATGTTTCAGCTGTTTCTAAAGAATTAACAGCTATTAACTAGTTATAGGGTAGAGACAAGAAGAACATAGCAAAGTATTTGCAACAGCATGTGCAAAGAGGATGCATGGGCACCAGTTGCTCAAGTGAGAACAGTGGGGGCTAGGACTCCCATGATAGCAGTGGAGGTAGTGTGAAATGGCTGGATTCCAAAAATCTTAGAGAGAAAACTTGGCAGGGGACCTGAGATGAGTCATGGTGAAGGAGAAGAAAGTACTAGAGATGAGTTCCAAACTTGTGTACCTTAGACATTCTTTGAAGACAAGGAAACTGGAGAAGGAGGAAAGTTTTGGGAAGGGAAAAAAATCAAGAATTTACTTTGGGTATGTTGTATGTGAGGCATGCTTGAGACATCTTGGAGGAGTTGCCTTGTGGGCAGTTTGAGTTTTATCTCAGAAAAGAATAAAGAATTTAATGTGTGAGTCACTGGTACATAGACTAATTGGCTATTACAGTACAGTGGAGAATTTTAAGAAAAGTATACTAATGTCATTGTTCAGGTTTCCCTGGACTAATTACTCCTTCCCTTCCTCCCTTTTTTTGGTCCCACCTCTGCCCTCCATGGGCTCAGGTGCAGCCAAGTGGGTAGACCCCGGGAACTGGTGTTGGAGAGGTCCTGCATAATGCAGTTTGGTAAAGCATGCACAGAACAGCTTTCTTTCCATCCCCATGCCCCCAACCTCACCTCATTGCTTGAGGCCCCTTTCAGAATTTCTCCACTGCTTACTATGTGGAGTCAGCACTTAGCCTAAAGTTCAAGGCTCTCTCCAACTCTGCCCCTTTGTGTAGACAACTTCCCCCGCACAAACTGAAGACAAGCAGCTTGTGTCCCTTTCACTTTGCCCTGCCTTACTCCCTTGCTCAGGCTGCTCTGTCCCTGGAATCATGCTCTCCACCCCATGTTTTCCCCACTCTCAGGCTGTTTTCCCACTCTTTGGGGTCCAGATTAAGTCCCATCTTTCCTGAAATTTCCCCAATCCCCATAAGGACTAAACTACTCTTCCTCCAAGAATTTCATCACTTAATGGTCAACACCCCTCATATGTAGCAGAGGGGACCATTATTTTATAATATGTAGATCATGTGCTACATGTGTTTCTGCTTAAGATATGTGTTCCCAGAATCCCCAAACTCTTAAATTACTCCAGAAGCAAGATTATACTGAATAGAGAATATCTATTAATATACAGACACTGTGTCAGAGGTGAGGCAGGAACAGGGTTGCCCCAAACTTACTCAGTGGACAGGCAGTTCACACTTGGATCTCAACAGAACTGTGGCCATTCCCCATAGCTCAAAATTTGATAACTGAAAATGTGAATGTTAAGTCTGAGAATGTCAAAATATGAACTTTCCTGTGTTCTCTATCTTTCCTTTGTACTTCAGAGGTTCCCTGTATGAATTGGTTGATGGGACAGAGATAACTTACTGATCCCATTGGAACCCTTCTGATCCCATACATCTATGCTCATGGCAGATGGACTTCTGGTTTTTGTATCAGGTTTGGTGTCAAGGTGATGCTGAAATTAGAAAGAGTTAGGAAGTAATCCTTATTCTTTTTTGCAAGAATTTGTGTCTTTTGACATTTCCTCTTAAAATGTTTGGGTTGAAACTCTTTTGATGAAAAGCTTTAGAATTAGTGCTATAGACCTCATTTTTGGAAACAAAGATCTACAGCAAGAATTAAACATGAAACAGTCAATTTTTGTCCTTTTGAATGCTCTTGTTTTTATTTGTTTCCTTCCTTAGGCAGCACTGGCCACTTTACCTTCTCCTTCCTGGCTGTGTGGGGCTTAGCTAAGTGACCACACAAGTGAGCAGTGAGGCCATCTGAGGTCTGAGCCTGGTCCTCAGGACTATCCTCTTTCCTTGCCAGCAAGCAAACTGCTCCAGCCTTGCTCATCCTTCTCCACATTCGTCTGACAGAATGAATGCCCTTGATGGTGTCCCTTTCAAGGTGCCCAAGGGCTTTGTGATAGGCACAGAGTCCTTCTCTGGGCCAGAGCTCAGTGTCCCAGCCTGCAGGGAGCTTCTGCTGAGTTCTATGGTAAGTGTGTCTTTCTTTCTGTCTGTCTGTCTGTTTCCTCATGCCTGGCTGTTGCTCTGAGGCTGAGCCTCCTGGGAGCTTGTTTCTTGATTTTAATGGGCAGCCATTCCTGCTCTTTTATCTCCTAGGGAATTTGGAAAATAGCCCAAGAGGGAAAGTATTTCATAAAGAAGGTTGGTGGCTAGGTGATGGGGATTATTTGGTGGGTCTTATTTTCAACTTAGAATAACTAGAAGACTGCCTATATGAAGTGAATGAGTCATTGCAAGGATTTGCCAGTTCCTCTCTATTTCATATCAGCCTGCTCACATGTCTAAAATTCTACCATTAGGATCACTCTTTTGGACTAAGAGACTATGTCCAGAACCCGCTGTTAAAATACAGACATGGTACAGGTTAGAAGGAATTATTATTCCTCAGACCATAAGCACATCTGCCCTGGAGGTATTTTTGAAGCGCTTCATGCTTCACATTCAACCACTGGAATATGCATGCAAGGTATGTGGTGGTGTCACATATACTCTGAATGAATATGATTATTTAACTTTCAGGGGAGTTTAGTTTACTCAATCATTTAGAAAGAACACTTTTGGGCCTCCCTGGTGGCGCAAGGGTTTAAGTTTCAGCGCTATCAAGCTATTGCCAGCCACTGCAGCATGAGTTTGATCCCTAGCACCTAGCCCACAAGACACAACAGACCTCTCCTGTCACTCTGACTGCTCCCCCTCAGCAGTGTATTCCAGTAAAATTGGCCTGTTCTGCTCCTCACTCTGTCCCACCCCCCTCACCTCTGGCCTACACCCCAGTTCTCATATGCGTAAACAAATAAAAATAAATCTTTAAAAAAAAAAAAGAAGGAATACTTTTTGGGGCTTCCCTAGTGGCCTAGGGGTTAAGTCTCAGGCCTGAATTAGATTCCCAGCTAGGGAGCTAACCCACATATAGCACAGCAGACCTCTCCTGTCTTGCCCCTTGCTTCCCTTAGCAGTGTTTCAGTAAATCTGCCTGTTCTGCTCCCCACTCTCTCTGGTGAATCCTCTCACCTTCTGTACCTCTGGCCTATACCTCAGTTCTTCCACATTTGTCTTTGCCCTTGCTTTATGGGGTATATTTGCTGTGCAGATATTACAAGTGTCTCTCCATATGTACTTTCATGGCTTCTGGGTTTTGATTCAGTGTGAACGGCTTTCCTATCCAAGGTTATAAAGGTGTCTCTCCCATTTTCTCCCAGTACTTTTACGGTTTCATATCTACATTTGAATCTTTGATGCTTTTGGAATTCTTCCTAGTATATAGTTTGAGAATAGATCCCACTATATATTTTTCCAGCTAGTTAAACCATTTATTAAATAGTCTTTCTTTTTCCCATTGCTTGGGATACCACTTTTATTATGTACTAAAGTCCATATATATTAAGGTCTATTTCTGTACTTCCTATTCTGTACCTTAAATCTGCCTATGACAGTACCACAGTTTTAATTATTGACATTCTATGTTATTATTTTAGCCAGCAGTAGGGTAAGGCCCCTTTATTTATCTTATGCCCCCTGAGTTTTTCTGGATATTGTTATTTGTTTTTCTATGAGCTTTTAAACCATCTTGCTTAGTTCCATAAATCACACATATTGGTATTTTTATTGGATCTTTGTATCCTTTTATTCTCAAGTCCCACTGACTGCCTCTATCTGTGTCTCTTTCTCTCCATGTGTGTCTGCCTCTTCAGTTCTGAAGTTGCCTTTCCCCTCTTTTGTCCTTCAGAGCCCTCATATTTTGCTCCAATCTTTTTCTAATCATTTGTTCTGCACACACATACAAATGTCCAGTCAGTGACAGGCCTGCCCTAGGCCCTGAGGATACAAGAGAGCAATGAGACACAATCCCTACCCTCAGTCATGGGGTCATACTGGAGCAGCTAAGATATATTCCTCTTTTTTTTTTTTTTACGGGTACCAAATTGCTTTATTTGAAGGAATGGTACAAATGAAAGCTATACGTAGATGTTTTGGTACAACTTATAGAAAAGGTAAAGGTAACCCCAACATGCATACACAGCCTTGGTGACCAGGAAAGTCACCCACTGGCTATGAGTAGCCAGCCTAAGGCTTAGCTTAGCTCTTGTCACTGTCTCCCAGGGTATGCTTGTCAAAGAGATACTTGGCCATGCCAGATTCGGGGGCCCCCATCTTGCGCAAGTTGGTTACATGGTCACCCAGTTCTTTGATGGATTTCACCTGCTCATCCAGGTAATGAGTCTCCAGGAAGTCACACAAATGGGGGTCATTTTTGTCAGTAGCCAGTTTGTGCAGCTCCAGTAGTGACTGATTCACGCTCTTTTCCAAGTGTAAGGCGCACTCCATTGCATTCAGCCCGTTCTCCCAGTCATCACGGTCGGGTTTCTTGATGTCCTGAAGGAAGATGCGGCCACCTCGTTGATTCTGCAGTTTCATCAGTTTCTCAGCATGTTCCCTCTCCTCATGAGATTGGTGAAGAAAATATTTGGCAAAATTCTTCAAAGCCACATCATCACGGTCAAAGTAGTAAGACATGGACAGGTAGACGTAGGAGGCGTAGAGTTCCAGGTGGATCTGGCGGTTGATGGCGGCCTCCGAGTCCTGGTGGTAGTTCTGGCGCACCTGTGAGGGGGACGCGGTCGTCATGGCGGCGGCGAGCTGGGGGCGATCCCACGGCGCTGTGGGCGGGAGCAGCGGCCGGGCGGCCGGGCTGGCGGCGGCGGGGACGAGCGCCGGGGTCCGTCCAAGCACTGTTGAAGCAGGAAACCGCGGCGACTCTCCGCGAAGGCTGTCTATATCCCTCTTCTTAACAAGGGTTCGTGGTGGGGGGAGGGCATAGGGGTAGAATGGGAGGGAAGGGAGCAGTGGCAGTCTCAGTGTGTGCCCCTCCTTCTGCCTCCCCTATCCCGCCTGGCTGCCTTGATTGACCATCACAGAACCGAAATTTCCTTTTCAATTTTAAATACTTTTTAATGGAGTTTTATGCTTCCAGCTCTTAATTTAAAGGCAGGCAACAGACATTTTTATTCTTGCTTCACTTATAAACTCCCAAGCCAGATGGGTAGTGGAGAAAGAACTACAGCCAGATGGAAAGAAGAATCCTAGGTCAGTCACTGACCACCAAACTGACCTCAAATTAATCAAAATTTCTTAATTAATTAATTTCATAATTAATCTCAAAATTAATCAATCAAATTAATTTCTGTATCTCATTTTCATAATCTGGAAATAGGAATAAAACTAGAATCTACTAAGGAGAATTAGAGATTTTTATATTTCCTGGGTCCCAAAGTACTCTTGGATGGCAGCGAAGCGGGTGGGGCTATTATTACTCCCCAGGAAAGTTTGCCTGGGGAGCTTCTAGGGCTGAGTGCTCAGTGGCAAATGGTGCTGGGCTCAGGCGAAATCTTCTTTGCTAAGAACAATATTTTTTTGAGAAATATTTTAAGCAGTGATTGTTAATTTTAAGCATACTGAATGGCCAAGGAATTTAGACATTAGATTTGACTACACTTTATCCTATGATTTCACTTTGTCCTTCATACAGTTTGCCATTAAATTGTTATTGCTGTCCTGAGCCGCGTGCTAACTGAAAATGAGTGTGCAGTGGAAGTGAGATGCACGCCCAGAACTCAGAATCAGAAGCTGTCTAGGACTGGGGAGTCTCTGGTTGAGCAGGGTTACCTGGGCCAGGGGATAGGGGTGAGCCCCCAGGGTCCGGGTTGCCTGGCCTGTCTCAGTTTCCTTTTCTCCACAGCACGACTTCAGCCTGGAGAAGAGGACACTCTTCTGGGTGGAGGCAGCAGTCCCAGGATCTTGCCTGTGCCAGTGCCGTGGCCCTGGTACAGCATCAGCCCCTCCAGCCTGGCTCTTGCTGATCAGCCCGGAACATGAACTAGAGCCTGTGCCTGCCGCAGCCAAAGGCCAGGAGGCCGAACCCCAGGAGCAGCCTGAGAAAGAGGATGAGGACAAGGAAGAAGCCTCCTCTGGCAGTGAAGAAGAGCCGGATCCCTGCACCCCAGAGATGGGCTCCCCGCCAAGCCCCAACTTGGGTCAGGTCTGGTGCTCGCTGCACTTGCTGCGGGATGTGAGGTCGGAGCTGGCCGGGGCGCGGCATCGGTTCTCTGAGGGCAGGCTGGCTGCTGCCCCCCGTATCCTCCTGCATCGCCTGCGCCAACGGGCCTTGAGCCTCTGCCGCAGCCCTGTGCCACCCCTGTGCCCCTCACCCCTGCACCCTGGCATCCCTGCACCGCTCCCGCGGCCCTCCACCGCTGGCACCATGCCCCTGCTGCAGAGCCACAAGCCCACCTTCACGGTAAGGCATCAGCCTGCTCTACCAAGGCTGCAGCTCAGCAACTCTATCCAGATCCACAGTCTTGGTTTTTCCTTCCCACACTTCCCCACCCTCCCTTCACCTGCTCTTCCCTGGCCCTGTACCATTCAGTCCTTCCTCATGCCTATAGTCTAGAACATTCCCTGCCCAGGGGCCCATCATGTGTTTTCCACTGTGCCTGTTCTGCTTCTTTTAGGGTACCTATCATAATAATTGTAATTACCAAGTGTCTGTCTGTCTCTTCCAATGGAATGTGAGTTCTCAGAGATAGTCACATTCATTTTTTTTTTTTTTTAAAGGAGAACTCTTTTGTTTGTTTGTTTATTTATTTATTTATACAAGCACTGGGTACAGTCAGAAGCGCAGGAGGGTGAGAGAATTTACCAGAGCCAGAGCAGGGAGCAGAGCAGGCAGAAGGACCGAAGTACACTGCTGAGGGGAGCAGCGGGCGGCAGGAGAGGTCTGCGCGCCATGTGGGACCCTCCTCCGGTGGCTGGGGAGCAGCCGGGGATCGAACCGGTGTCCCAGAGGCTGCGGGCAGCTTCGCAACCCAGCGCTCAACTGCTGCGCCACCGGGGAGGCCCCACATTCATTTTTGTTTCCAGAGCACCCAAGGGCAAACTTGGCCTCTAGGGGGTGCTCAATGAATAGTTGTTGAATTAATGACTATGACTCAAAGCTAGGCTTCTGTATAATGGGTGAGCTGAAGGTTCAATCAAGGAATGTTCACTGTATAGTTACTTCCTCCCAGACACTGTGTTGGAAGAGACAGTGTGAAAACCACAGGACAAGGACAGTTTTCTCATATTGTCTTATTTAAACCTCATAGCAACCCTGTGAGGCTTCTAGAATGATTGCCTCTATTTTACATATGAGCAAACTGGGTAAACAGAGTTGTGTTTTGAACCCAGGTCTGCAGGGCTCCAAGCTCTCCCCAACCTTAACCCCTACACTCTGCAGAAAGTGCAGTGTTACACAAATAGCCTCCCATGGTGACTGACACATCAGTCTGTATTTCAGTCCCTCAGCCAGGGCATCTGCCTGCCACCTCCTGGGCGGCCACACCAGCTTCTTGATGCCCACACATCACACTCTGATTCTGCTGACCTGCTCTCTGCTCTGAGCCGGGAGGAACAAGACCTCATCAGACCAGTGGTTGCCTTGGGTTATCCTGTGCGCAGGGCCATTGTGGCTCTGCAGAAGACAGGGTGGAAGAGCCTCAGCCAGGTGAGTGGGGCACAACCTGAGAGGCTGAGGAGGTGGAGCCAGTGAGTGGGGGCAAGGAGCTAGGGGACTGTAGAACTGGACCAGTTGAATGGCCATATGGTTTTTAAAATGTAATTAATTTATTTATGCATACAAGAACTGGGGTGTAGGCCAGAGGTGCCGGGGATTAGAGGATTCACCAGAGCGAGTAGGGAGCAGAACAGGCAGATCTATTGAAATATACTGCTGAGGGGAGCAGCAGGCAAGGCAGGAGAGGTCTTCTGTGCCATGTGGACCAGCATCCTGGCTGAGTATCTGACTCAGCCATGATAGCATGATGCCATGATAGCACTAAGACTTAACCCCTATGCCACCAGGGAGGCCTGGTTTTTATCTTTAAGTTGAAGAGGTTTAATTTCCTCCTTTTTAGAAGCAGACCCTCAGCCTGAATTATTGAGGGCTATGAATAAGTTTCTAGACCCTAATGCTACCTTCTCCACAGGAGTTTATCAGGTATTCTCATGCCTACTTGGGGAATCACAATATTTTATTCCTATTCCTATTTCTGGCACAAGTGCAGGGGTATGGAGTTTTGGGCTGCTTAGCATCCAGAGCTGTCCAATGGAACTTTCCACAGTGAGAGAGGTGTTTTATACCTGTGTGATCCAATACCAGTTATATGTGGTTATTTGAAATATGGCTAGTATGAGTAGGCAACTGAATTTTAAATTTTATTTAGTTATAATTAATTTAAAGTAGTCACATGTGGCTATTGGTTACCCTATTGGATGCTGCAGTTTGACCTTTTCCTCAGTGAACAGTTTATTCATACCCATAGCCATCTCCTTCTGTTTCATTCTACTTGTCCAGCCATCTAGTCAACAGTATTAGTCACATCCTAGTTGTTGGTGCAGCTAGGAATTATGTTCCTCACTGCTCCAAGGTACTTAAAACTAGTCTTATTGGTTAAAGGACTCAGAGTTTGACATATAGAATGTTTATTAAGGAGACCTTGGGATCAACTTCCATGGACGAGGACAGAAGCAAGTGTGGATAGGCAGAGAAGTTGAGCTTTGTAGGCCCAATGACAGCAGCAGCCAACCCCACAGCGCCAGAACATATATGATCCTTCAGATTTTTTCTCAGCAGGGTTGAGATGGCTGGGCCTTTGTACCCCTGCCTCAGTCAACCACTGGATGTGGGCAGGGGGTGACTTGAGAGAGGTGGTTTCTGCAGTTGAGGTAACCCCTGACAGGGCAGATAGCTGAAGGGTGACTACCAGCTCTCCCAGCATCTGGAACAACGAGGCATTCAATGAAGGGGTATCTGGAAGGCTCATCACAGAGTTTACCACACCCAGATTCTATTTTTAAAGACTTCACTCTGCTTGGAAGGAGTAAAGATATTTACAGTAACACTCAAAAGGTAGCAACCCAAGCTGCTCTAAAATTTCCTAGCAGGTCTTGATCCCCAGTATGAGCCAAGATGTGAGAGCACCTACAGAAGAGTGAGCGCCCCCAAAGTACAAAAGGAGAGGTGCTAGTGAGAAGATGCCTGGGAGGAGAAGGGTACAAGTGCTATGGGGGCGCTTCAGTTATCTATTCCTATGTGAAAAACCACCCTCAAACTTAGTGGCTTAATGCAACAATTTGTTTGCTCAATATTCTCTGGGTTGGCAGTGTGGAGTGGGGACAGCCGGGTGGTTCTTTTGCTGATTTTACCTGGGACCTCTCATATGGCTATAGTTTGGTTGGGGCTGAAGGGTCTAAGAAGGTCTTGCTCACAGTCCAATGGTTGGTGACATTTATCAACTGAGCCACATATCTCAAGCAAGATAGCCCACTTGGATCCAAGAGTACAGGAGTGAAAACTGCAAGACCTTTTGAGACTTAGGCTGAAGTTGTACAGTTGCCTCTGCCCTATTCAATTGGCCAACATTGCTGGACAGATTAAAGGCAGATTAAGACCAGCCTAGATTAAAAGGGTGGAAAAATACCGCCCCCCCCCCACTTGATGGGAGAGGCTGTAAAGAATTTATAGACATTCTTGGGCCTCCCCGGTGGCGCAGCGGTTGAGCGCTGGGTTGCGAAGCTGCCCGCAGCCTCTGCAGCGCCAGTTCGATCCCCCGCTGCTCCCCGGCCACTGGAGGAGGGTCCCACATGGCGCCCAGACCTCTCCTGCCGCCCCTGCTCCCCTCAGCAGTGTACTTCGGTCCTTCCCCGCCTGCTCTGCTCCCCGCTCTGGCTCTGGTGAATTCTCTTACCCTCCTGCGCTTCTGACTGTACCCAGTGTTTGTATAAACAAACAAACAAACAAACAAACAAATAAACAAAAATCTAAAAAAAAAAAAGAATTTATAGACATTCTTAATCTACAACAAAGAGGTTCCAATGTTCACAAAAGGTTTCACAGAGGAGCCCAACCTTGAGCTAGACTTTGGGGATGGATAAGATCTGAATCTGAAGGAAGGAGAAGGGGCGATATTCCAGGCAGAAGGAGAGAGTGAGCAAAAAAGTGGAGACAAGAAAGGAAGTGTTTGGAAGGCCCTGATCTGACCAGCCTTGCTGGTGTAGAGGGTACATGATGCAGGCTGGGAGGAGATGAGACAGGGAAGGGGGATTGAGGGCAGATGGAAGGTGCCTCGAAGGCTGGGCTGAGAATTTTATCAATGACCCAATAGCAAAAGGGAGTGTGGAAGGACTATGGGCAGGGGCAGGGGTGATGTTGAATGGCATTGTCTGAACCCCCCTTCATTTTTTTCTGAATGTGGGATTCTTTGTGTCAGAGGGCTTGGACACCTTCTCCATAATCGCTGATGACAGAAACATATTGGGTCCCTGAGATTGGGACAGAAAGTGTGCTGCTGCTGGGAAATATGCCTCCCCCTATCCCCACCCACTCTGGCTGCTGCTCATTAGTCATGTCTTGTCTTAAGGGAAAACTTCCAACATCCCCATATGGCTAACTTGATGGGGCGAGGGGGATGCTAGCATTTATTGAATGCCTTCTTTGTGCCAATCCCTCAATCTGAAAGTATTCAATGAGCTCTCCTCAATTCTGTAAGGGTGCTGCAGATGAGGAGACTGAGGCCAGGGAGGTTCATATAATCAGTCAACAGCAATGCCAGGCTAGTCTGACTCAGTCTTTGTTGCACAGTGCTTATCTCTCATTTTCTAAGAACATCCTCTTCCAGGGCCGCGCCCCAGGCTGATCTGAGATTTTGGAGTCAATCTAATGTTGACTTCATCTTCAGCTGCATCTGAAAAGCTAGGACCTTGGCCAAGAAGCTGGCCAGGAGGGCCAGGATGGGTCAGTCCCACTGTGGGGGCTCTGAAATGCCTCCCCAGTCCTCTTGGCCCTGTGACAAGGCTGAGGTCTCAGACTATCACTGGGAATCTGAAGATTGGTTGGAGCCAGCAGGGGACTCTGGCCTCCCTGTGGGTGGGCTGGAAGAATCCCTCTGCATTGGGACTGACCACCTGCCTGGCCTTCCTGATATCTGGGTGGCCTTCTTCCCAGTGGGCAATCAGGGGCCAGGCCCTGAGGGGTGGGCTGGAAGGGTCATGGAATACTTCATCTCTCCTCCCCACCAAGTTAGTATCTCCTTCTATTCTTTTTTTTTTAAATTTATTTATTTATGCATACAAGAACTGGGGTACAGGACAGAGGTATGGGGGGTGAGAGGATTCACCAGAGACAGAGTGGGGAACAGACCAGGCAGACTGCCTGAAATACACTGCTGAGGGGAGCGGGGAGCAGTGGGCGAGGCAGGAGAGGTCTGCTGCACCATGTGGGTTGCTCCCTGGCTGCTGGGAATTGTACTGGTGCTTCAGTGGCTGGCAATAGCTTGATAGAGCTGTCTTTAACCCCTGCTCCACCAGGGAGGCCCCTAGTATCTCTTCCTGTTCTGTGGAGCTCCACTTGATGGAGCAAGCTTTTGGAGTTCATTCAGAAAGATATAACTGTCCCCTTGAAAGACGGGGACAGTCCCCTTTGAGCCTTACTTCACCCATTGACAGAATGGTGGGGAAATGTTTTCAACAAGTGACCTCTAGAGACCTGATCAGGGGTCTGAAGGTGACATTCTTACCCACCCTTGACCTGGGACAGACCTGGTACGTGATGAATCAGTAGAATCTTTACAAATGCAGATTCCCAGAACCTACCTGGGAGGGTCCCAGTCAGTGGACCTGGAGTGGGTCTTACTATTTTAAAAGCTCTGCTGATTGTTCTAAACACAGCCTGGATCAGGCTACTGGTATGAATTGAGTCAGAGATTCTTAACCTGGCTGCATGTTAGAACCTCCTGGACAGCTGTGCAATCCCAGTGCCCAGGCTACCCCCAGACCTGTTATGTCAGGGTCTCTGGCCGTGAGCCTCAAGGTTTACAGGTAGTGATACCGAGGCACCAGTCAGCACCCAGACTGCGGACCTTGGCTGTGGGTGAACCAAAAGGTAAAGGGATCGTCTCCCATTCTCATCTGTCCTTGCCTCCTCTCCTATTTTCACCTTTGGATACCCTGTCTCCCCTCAAAGCCAGCGATGGCACTGGGGGCAGGACAGGTTCTGAACCTGGGCAAGCCACCTGCCCTGCCTGAAACTGTTTCCCCAACTGTGTGCTCCAGGCAGGTCTAGGTGGCTTGGGACAGGAGTGCTGGACTCCAAACTCAACCCCCTTGCCCCCAGTTCTCCCAGAGCAACCCCGACCTTACCCTGTTATTGTTGAATTCTCCTGTACTCTGACGTTCAGAAACTCAACGGGTTTGAAAACCATTAGCCCTCATGATCCGTGCTTTCTGCCCAACTCTGAACATCTGCAGAAACCCAGCCCGTTCCCCTCATACCCACGATTCCTCTGGTCTGGCGCCTTCATTTGGCACCAGCTCCCTATAAATCCTGCTTTGATCTGCTTGGCCCTCATGTTTTCCTGTATCTGGTTTATCTCCCCTACTAAGCTGTGAGCTCCTTGAAGGTAATTCTTAATTCACCATATAAACACAGCATACACTTACTGAGTTCCTTCTGCCTGCTCTGCTGGGTGCTGGGGACACAGTGGGGAATAATACTGACACAACACTTCCCTCATGGAGCAAAAAGTCAGTGGATAAGAAAGATAAGAAATATAGTAGAGCAATTGCAAAGCTCTATGTGCCTTGATGTGGGAGCACAGGGTGCTGTGGGAACATAAGGGCTGGTATGTGGTGGAAATGGGGCAGAGGGACTTCCCAGTGTGGGGGGGGGTGAAGCTGGCCTTGGCAGGAGAATCCAGATATAGGGAGGAAGTTGGGGTGCTGAGGGAGGAGACGAGGCTGCTGACAGGCAGGAATCACCCTTTGAGGCCTGGAGGAGGCAGCACCTTTTCCTGAGGGCAAAAGCAGCCTCTGATGACTTGCACAGGGAATGGTTTAAACAGGTTTTCCGCATGTGGGGGTCCCCCTCTGTCTTCGCCCCTTTCCATCGCTGGTGTGGGCCTGTTGTACAGTAGGAGTCCTGGGTGGCAGAGATGTAAGTGTCTCTGTGTGGGCAGGTCGGTGCTCCCCAAGAAGGGTGAGCAGGCTGGGTTGGGGGTGGTGAGGCCTGTCCCAATCCCATTTGGATTCTGGGAAAACTGACAGCCTTTTTCCTGGATTCCACCTGGGGCTTGGAACATTTGGTGAGGTCCCACTATCTACCTGTCCTTGGTTCCTGAGAGTAGCCTCTGTCCCTCTTCTACTGAATAGTGGGCTCTCTGGGGCAACATGCATGGTGGGTTGTCTAGTCAGTCTGGCCCTGAACTTGGGCCTTAAATAGGCCCTTCCAGTGCCTCCTGAACCCTATCTGCTATCCTTGCCATGCCTCTTATCATTCCTCCTTTGCTTTCTGGTCCAGTTTCTCAACTATCTTAGCGCCTGTGACCGGCTGCTGCAGCAGGGCTATGAAGAGGGCCTGGTGGAGGAGGCCATGGAGATGTTCCAGTTCTCTGAGCACCAGGTCAGTAGTGCCTCCCACCCAGGTCCCAGTGGAGGGAAGATAGGGGAGCACATATGGTATGCAGGGGTATACAGTGCCCAGGGTAGCCTGGGGGTGTCAGGAAATAGCCTGCTTGCTCAGCTCTGGGGAGAAGTCAGTCCAGGCTGATGAAGCCCTGAAGGCAAGGCGAGAGGATAGGCGAGAGAAGGGAAAGCAGGTAGAGGGAAACAGGAAGCAGGGGTTGTAGCATTTACTGAATCACCCCAACAAATGTCACTGAGTGTCCTCTCTTTGCCAGGCACCCAGATAGGAGCCACGGGCAGCACAAAAATGCTTGCATTCTGCCCAGGGATGGAAACCCGGAATGCATGCAGCTCTGGGCCCACTGAATATCCCCGCCCTCAACTGGCAGTGGGCCCAGGCTCAACGGAACAGCAATTCACAGAGGCTGAGGGCAGGAAGGAGAGGCATGGGAGAGATGCTACAGAAATAGAGAAGAGTAGGAGGCAGCATGGGTGGGGGACAAGGAGAAAGAGAAAGAAGAGGAAATTTCAAACTTTGGGTTCAGAGGAAGAAGGAAGGTGGAAGTTGTACTGTGTGAAACCTCAGCAGGGTTTGGGGCCTGGGCGGAGACCTCAGGTTGTGCATCCTTTGGACACCAGTATGCAGCCTTCTTCTTCTTCTTTTTTTTTTTTTTGTGGAACCCTCGCTTGTGGCTGGGGAATGAACCGGTGCTGCAGAGGCTACGGGCAGCCTCGCAGCCCAGCGCTCAACCGCTGCGCCACCAGGGGAGGCCCTGCAGCCTTCTTCTTGTCTCAGCACCCAAACACAGAAAGTCTAGAGTAAGCCAGAGGGATCAAGTAAACCAGAGCTGAGCCAGCAGCCAGGCAGAGGCACAGGAAGGGAAGCTGGAGTTCATGCTAGACCAGAGCACAGGAAAACCTCAGGTGCTCAAGATCATGCTCACCTGGTCTGGGGTACAGCTTTCTGGGAGCAGATGCAGTGGACACCAAGGAGAAGACTCCCCATGGTGAGGCCAGACCTCACAGACACCCCAGTGTTCTCTCTGTCTCTCCTTTCTCAGGCAGGGGAGTTCCTGCGCCTCTGGGAGCAGTTCAGTGACATGGGTTTCCAGCAGGACCGCATCAAGGAGGTGCTACTGGTCCATGGCAACTGCCATGAGCAAGCCCTGGAGGAGCTAGTGGCCTGTGCTCAGTGACCACTGGAGTGTCATCATGCCCATCACCCTAGACGTGTGCCAGACCTGGCAATCCATTAACTGTATTATTAAGACCACATAAGAATAACAAAGTGATGCATGATCTTTATAAAAATACAAACAATGCAAGGGGTGGGAGTAAATACTGCTGGGTTGTGTGTGTGTGTGTGTGTGTGTGTGTGTGTGTGTGTGTGTGTATAGAACTCTACCATCTTGTTTTCAGCAGGAACTCTTTAACAAGAAGACAGATTAATATGAGAAAAAAATTATTATCATATAGCACACATCACAGAAATCTCAAAGAAAAGTAACTCCAAGGAGTGGTTAGAATTTCTTTAAGTTATAACAACAAACTCATAATAAATTTGTAGATAAATCACGGGACAGAGGAAAATGACTTCAGACTTCCAAAGGGGCAAACCGGGAAGGCATAGAAACATATGGAGAGAACTAATGGAGTAAGGTTTTTTGAGGATTCCTCTGGCATGTCTGGTTGGACTCTTCCTCCAGAAAAGAATTCATATCCTGCCTTTGGGCAGAAAAGGGTAGAGGGAACAAAAGGTTTTTAAGAAGGTAGAAAGAACGTTTTCTGTACTTGTCACTTTTTAATTGGCTTCAGCTCAAAATAATTTTTATATCAAATAGACATGTTTTAGGGTGAGTTTGTTTCCTTTGATACAAAAGAATCAGCTAAAATTGTTGCAAGTGGTTGCTTGTGGGGAGAGAGAGAAGGGTGAGTGAAGTGTCTTCCAAAAAGTGGCTCTTTAAACTGTATACATGAGTAACTTTAGGAAAATTAAAACAAATAAATGATAGGTAGTTCTTTGGGTTCCTGAAGGCTCCTGTCTTGGTGTGGAAAGAATGTCTAACTGAGGGTCAGAAGTTCTAATTTCTGATTTTGGTTCTGCTGTTGACTGGCTCATGGCCTCTATGAGCCTCAGCTTCCCCAAATGGAGGGACTGACCAGGTCAAAAGTTTCCAGACCTGGCAGCTATCCATCAGAATCCCCCAAGGAGTTTGTTAGAGTCCAAGTCCCCACCCCAGGATAATGTGATTCAGAGAGCCCAGTTGGGCAGCCCCCAGGAATTTGTTTGTTTTTATAAGCAGCTGCCTGGTGATTCTTTGATGTAACATGTCCATGGCCAGTGTGTGTGGTCCTTAAGCCAGCCTCAGGGTCCCTGCTGATCTGTAGTCCTATGTCAGTCTTTCCTAATTGGGAGAGTGGGCATCTTGGTTGAAGCCAGAGTTGTTTCCCATTACCCTAAGCCTATCCATAGGAATTGAGGGGACCGGTTGCCAGAGTTGCCTGTGACTCATGCAAACAGAGGTCAGAGGCCAAGGAGCTGGTGCCTCACCCTTCCCAGATGGCCCAGTGCAAAGACCAGTAGCAGCTGCCACAGAATCAAAACCTCTTCCCATCTCCACACAGTAAATGGGGTTGGACCTGGAGCTAAGACCTATAAAAAAAAAACAAAAACAAACAAAAAAAAAAACCAATAACTTCCACATCTCTCAGGCCTTATTGTTTGAACATGTGGTAAGGACTTCTGCAGGCCTGCATGGGACTAAACAGTAAGTTTGGGACTAGAATACAGGTCTCTGGAGCCCCAACCAGCCTCTGGGTGCTTTTCACTGAGCCTGATGCCTGCCAACTTGAAATCACATTAAAAATATTCTTTGGGCTTAAAACTTGCTTTAAATAACTTGCAGGCAAATTAATTTGAGAAAATTGTCAAGATGGCATAAAGTTGGTCAAAAATAAAACTATACTTGGAAAAGACAGAAAAATTCAAGTTCAGTGTATAAAGTGCAACCTTAGAGCCAAAGCTATTTATGTTCTGCTTAAGATAATTTGTTTTCTGGCCTGTCACTTTACTAAGTCTTCAGATTAGAGGCGACTAGTTAGCAGGCTCCTTACCTGTATCATAGACCCTTTCCTGCTCCAAAAAAGGATGCCACTCCTCTCAGCTTTCTCCCACCTATCCCAAACTTGTATTGCTTGATTAAAAATGAGACATCAATGGACGTGTTGTTGCTTTAAAATACCTTTGGGAGGTACTGTGATACTGTATGGGCATGAACTTTGATGTGAGATCTGGATTAAAATTATAGCCCCATTACAAAGTTTTGAAAGTTGCTCTTTGGGCTCTTTGGGCCTTAGTCCCTTATCCATAAAATATGAATACTTAAACTTCCCAACTGGGATGACTGAATGGGAAAGTGTACTGGAAGCTTGTGGCATGTGTCTAGTGGCTATTTACTTCCATATACATGGCTATACCCTGTCTTGTCCTTTAATCACTACTACCTTTACTTTGATCATCTTCCTCATCATTATTCTGGTTAAAGATCTCCAGCATTTATAATCAAACTCCCCCAGCAACTCAGACTCTCTGGTCAGCAGGGTTTAAGAAGGTACCTGGAACAGAGGTTTCTGGAATTGCCACCTGGGAGAAGGATAATCTCTATAGCTAATACTAAGGGTCAGGTGACTGCATTGGCGGCCCGCTGAAACAGCAATCGATGACATACTCAGCTGCCTGAAGGCAGGGTCTAGACAAGATGACCCTTGAAGGGGTCAGGTGGTGAGCTAAAGCCCAAGGATACAGAATGGAGCAAGTCCCACCTTGGATCTTGCTCCCATTTCTGTCCTTTTATGTTCTGTTTCCTTTTCTGTTTCCTACCATGTTCCCTTAGAGGCCCAGTGCCAGCAGGTTGAAGGAGGCCTTCAGGCTGACAGGGCGGAGGAGGGGGGTGTCTCATAACCCATTTCAGGCTGAGAGCTGAAATTTTTTGTGTGTCCCCTTGGCAGGGAACCATGCATCTTGCCCTCTGTCTCCTTATAAGACCTTTGTGATTCCAGTGGGCACATCCAGACAATCCAAGATAATCTCCCCTTCAAAATCTTTAATCGCATCTGCAAAGTCCCATCTGCCATATAAGGTAACACGATTCTAGGGATTAGGATGTGGGTGTCTTCAGGGGTCTATTATCCAGCCTACCTCAGGGGGGCAATGCTTAACCCAAGATACTATGACTAATGGTGGAATTTCGGGCAGTCATGTAAGGGGGTTCTGTTGTGTCTTGCATCACTCTTTATACAAGGGACATTTCTATTTTGGCACAGACTGACAGTAGAGTAGGACTAACTAGAGGTCAGGGGCTCAGCTCCGCACAGCTGACTCTACTTCTCTGTCACCTCTGATAGGAGCTTCTGCAGCTCTTCAACTTAAGCCAACCTTCTGCAAGCTGATGACTTTCTCCTGGCCAGAGCAGCCTCAGATGAGGGCTGTCAGGCCCTGACCTTTCCACTCTGCAGTGGTGGAGCAGACACACCCTCAGTTGGTATCCAGAGATCAAGTGGAGAAGTCAGGAGCTGCCTCCTCCAGGACCCTCCCCTCTGAGCCCCTTCCTTCCATGTCCTCCTCTCTGACCTCCAGCCTGACCTCCAGCTGCTCTGACCCCCTGTAGCTCCTGATTAGAGAATTCCTTCGTTGGCCCCTGCAGCAAACACTCTGTGCCTTCTAAAAGAGGATGTGGGGAGGACTATACCTTACTCAGAATAGTGACTCATAAACCAGGGTTTTAGGCCCAGTAAGAGCTGGCCAGGGAAAGCGGTGGCCCTCCCAGTGCGTCATCTCATTTGGCCATCCGTTCTGCCTCCATCAAGACTCACCAGGAGGAGGATCTGGAGCTTCCAGGAGTTTGGAAAGAGTTTTTCTAATGAGGGTTGGGGGTGACTTCCAGAGCCCCTCCCTCAGTATAAGAACCACCTGCTCACACCTCTGCTCACCCTCAGATCCCAAGGACAGGGCTTTGTTCCCAGATGTGCTGGGATCAGAGGAATACTTCAAGAGAACCAGGACACTCCGAGAAACTATGAGCTAACAGAAGAACTAGTGCTCCCTTTCCTGTTCCCTCTCGCTTTCTCCCTCCCTCACCCACCACTGTCATGGGGGTGGGGGCAGTGGGGAGAAACCTCTGCCATAGGTATTATCCAGCATTATTTAGGGGAGTTGATTGCAGATGCCTTCATGTTAGGGACAAGACAGGTAGCAGTGGCTCAGCTTTACTTACGGACAGGGCCCACTCAACCACTACAACCTTTGTGAAGCATCTACTGTGCACTCGGCCTGCTCTTGTCCCTCAGGGAAGACGCTGCCTCCGTGTCCCAGTGCAGCAACCCAGTTGATGAGTCAAAACTACCACCAAAGAATGCTTTCCTTACTAATTCCTGCACCAACAAGCTGTCATAGCATACCAGCTGAGTGCCAGGCCCTGCAGGGCCCAGGAATAGAGGAAGGTTGGAAGAAGAATGGAAAAAGCCCTGTCAGGTTGGGAGGCTTCCCAGTGCCAGGCTGGGCAGTGTGGGCATGGTGGCAGATGGCGGAGAGCAGGTCGGCGCCTGTGCTGATGATGATGGCAGTGAGGGCAGAGGACAGGCAGGCTCTGAAGGTGGTGCTTGGTGGAACTGGGTCCTAGCCAGGCACCCCGCTGGCCTCACTCCCAGCCCATCGGTGAGGCACCCACCCTCGCTGCCCCCTCCTCCCTCCTGGCGGGTGGCCCTGCCTCCTGCCCATTCTCCTCCTGAACCTGTCCTTATAAGGCCACCCACTCAGGAGACGTGCATTCTGTGTCCTCTGGGAAGTTGCCCACACAACGTCATCTGCTGTTTAACTGCTCAAGACTTTTAACCTCTGATTTTATTTATTTATTTATTTATTATTTATATTTGTGATTAAGAAAATGTTTCCAGGCTCAGAAGAGAGCTTAAGTGGGTGCTGGGTGAGAGTGACAGGAAGGAAGCCAAGGGGCTGGGGACCCAAGACATGGCTTCATCACAGTTCTGAGCAGCCTCAGCAGCCAGCGGTGTCATGAAGCTGAGAAGGCCCTTTGCTGGGCACAAGGAGAGGAGGGGCGGTGCCCTTCAGGGCCTCCACTGTGGGAACAGACAGCTTATCAAGCACCAGTTCTGGTGCAGTGGGGGCCTCTAAGCAGAGCCCCACACTGCCAGAGCTTGAGCCAGCCTGAGAGGTCAGCCCTGGGCTGGCACAAGCATCTCCTAGGAGGGGCACAACTGACACCACCTCCCAGGGTGAAGAAGAGCTGCAGGCAAGAAGTAGAGGAAGGACCTTTCAGGCGGGAGACAACCTGGGGTGGGCAGGGGAATGGTGAGCTCCTCGGTGTGCCTGGAAGGTGTCTCTGGGCCTTATGGAGTTTGGACTTGACCCTGTACCAGGGAGCAAAGGAAGCAACACCAGGAAGCCAACGGGGTGACGGAAAGGAGACCATAGGGGTTACTGCTGTTTCTGGCCACCCACCTAAGGGCCATTCCACCTTAGTCTTATGTGACACCCAGGTTCCCTGAGGGAATTACCTAACCCCCTTCTGTGAGCCACCTTAGGTGCTGTCCAAATGTCCTGTCCTCCCCACATGTCACCCACACAGGGCCAGGCTGACCCCAGCATGTAACCTTGGACTCTTGAACATACTCATTCTGGCTGTGGCCTTAGAGGGACTGGAAACACCCTCGCAGATGCTCGGCTCCCACCCTTTTGCAATGAGGTGCTTTGGCCCTTCCAGGGGCCTGGAGCTCTGCAAAGCCCTTTTAAAACAATCCTGTTCTCCTTAGCCAAAGGAGGTTTCTCATGCTAACGACTAAAGCACCTGATGGATGCAATGAGATCACGTGAAAAGGCAGCAGCCAAAGGGGACACAGTGTGTGTCCTATCCCCCCAAGATTCTAGAGAAAGGTCTCACACTATAGAGCAGGAGGAGGGAAAGAATAGGCCTTGGAAGTTGGGGTTCTCACTGAGGAGGTATCACACCAGGGAATTCACCTTCTGGTCCTATAACTGCCAAGGGAATGCCTCCTCACAGCCACTGTGCTGTTCTGAGGGCAGGGGTTGAATCTGACTTGTCTCTGTCCCTGTGCATGGCACAGCTTGTGGTTAGAGAGGGTGTTTGCTGAGTGAAGAGAAAGGGAGGGAGGGAGGAATGAGGGAGGGAAGCCATGAAAGGGATCCTCTGAGGAGGGGTTCATGCTTAAGGTAACTTCTTCCAAAAAAGGTTCCATGACTTCTGGGTGAAAGACTCACCAGAAAGTATTAGGGAAGTTGTGGGTACTTGGAGTGACACTATCAGTGAGTGAGGTGATAAGGGCAGCCATGCATATTCCTTAGCGCCCAGCTCCTCAGAGCCTAGAGGGACCACAGGGCTGGGGCTAGAGAGGATAAGAGATCCTGGGAGCTGCTGAGAGGGTCTTGGTGGTAATCTGCACAAGGCCCCCTGGTGACCATGGACGGGAGAGGCCCCAGTTAGCTCATGATCCCTGAGATGTGCTCCTTTTTGAAGGCAGCACAGCTTTTGAGCTGAGCTAAGCACAGGAAACTTACCCTGACAGACCAGAAGAAGTGACCACAGTCTCTCTGGGGGTACCAGGTTGAGTACTGAGGAGAGGGGTGAGCACTACTGGTCAAGAAGCCACCACCCCTGAATCTGCAACAAGGAGCTTTGCTCTGTTTACTGCAGCCCTAGACCACATGGCAGTGGCCAAGGAGATGGCCTAGCAGCAGTCCAGAGCTGTTTGAGGATCTCAAGGTAGGAGGCTGAGGCTAAGAGAAGCATGTTGAACCCAGGGGCCCAAGGATCATTGGATGACACTTCTCAGCATGCATTGAAGAGGACGCCCATCCTTTTCCTTCCACCAAACCATGCCTGTCCATGTTCCTTAGACGGGGGTGGGGGGGTGTCAAAGGGTTATATTCTGGAGACATGCCCTCATGAGGAGGAATGGCAGCTGTCTTCAAGGCCAAAATGCCCCTTTGGGGGTCCCAACCACACCAGGTGGTCATTAATTCTCCATCTGAAGTCTGACTACACAGCTACTGCCCAGATAACTGGAGGGCAGAGAACTTTCGGGGCTGGTGACACTCCTGGGCCCAGCACTGTCCAAGGTCCCTCTGTGTACTACTTCACTCAGTCCTTCAAATTTAGGCACTGCTGTCCTCAGTGACAGACATCACTTGGGGTTCAGAGAGGTAAACAGCTGCTCACAGTCACACAGTCAGAAAGTGGTCAAGCTGCATTAGAATCCAGAAAGTTTGAGTT